CCTCTCCAGCGAGCTTGTGGATGCTGTAGTAACCTCGGTCGCCACAGGACGGCAAAATAAATTTTTTGATAGATATGGAGTCGCCACCAATATTTATTTCTATGGAAAAAACCATTCAAGAAAAATGGTCTACGTACGAAATCAAATTTTAAGTTCGGGAGTTAATTACATGTAAGGAAGGTATTAGCACCTTACAACGTCCATCGTAAAGAAGGTTACCTCTAATTAATCAAGCAAACTATTATAACTTTTAGAATGTTTATCTCACCCCAAATTACTAGAAATTCACGATGATAATCACATATATTTTATTCAACAAGTGCATTGAATATTAAAGTTGTTTATTATTATTATTATTATTGATTTAAGAATAAGATAATATTATTATTTTTATTTCTGAGCTCGACATGAATAATTTCTTGCTCCTACGTATCTCCATATGTAATGAAGAATCAGAGTCACGTAGTTCTTGAAAGAAAATGTTTTAATAGTTTTTTTTTATTTAAACTTACCTTTTTAATTTAATTAGGGGCTTTTGAGCTGTCTCAACTCATACAACCTAAAATTGACAAAGGTGTACACCAAAGCCAATTTATTTAATTATTTAACTTTGATTAATCATGATTATTATAATTTTTGTGGTAAAAACAAAAATTAATTGTTTTGTAATAAATTTTGTTACAATGTTTTTAAATATTTAGCGAAAATTCTATAATGGTAAGAATTATATGTTTGAATTAATTTAGAAAAGAGTTATAAGATAACAAGTTGTCACAACTTGTATCCTTGCATTCTAAGATTAAGAGAATGTCACATTCAAATAATCTTTTTGTCAAACATTACTTGAATTATTTTATTGATAAAATGTAAAACTTGATTTTAAATTGAACTTATAATTTGTAATGTGCTTCATTTTAAAAGATCTCGATATTATAAATTATAACTGTACTGTCCGTACTGCGTAACCGAGCTCCAAGCTCGGCACCACAACGCAAGCCGACCTCAGACGCGCGCCGCGTGACATCAGCTCGGTATGTAGGTGAATCATAACTGATCCCCGAGGATCTCGCCCCAGACGAGATCCGTTATCTAATCATGTTACACTTCATCTCAGGCCCAAGGCCCAAAACAACCCTAAATCACACCAAGGTACGTGCATTACATATACGAGACTACTACTCATGCAAACCCTAACTTTAGCATCAGAGTCTCTTTTGCAGGTACCACCCCCATCTTGGAGCACCAGCGTACCCGTGAAGGAGGCTCACCGATCTTACCTGGCGGATCAGCTCTACAGCAGATTTTTGGTAAGAACATTTGGCGCCCACCGTGGGGCCGATCGAGACAGCCCTTATCGGCCACTTGTATGGTTTTCACTAGAAGCCATACCAGACGAGTAATAGACGACGCTGAACACTCAATCACCATGGACAGCGACGCGACAACCTTGAGAAGACTGATCGACCAAGTCGAACAGATGCGACAGCAGCATGACACTGACCTGCGCAACATGCGCGCCAAGCACGAAGCTGACCTAGCGGCAATGCAGACAACTAATGAGGCAGACCTCGCAGCGTTACGTGAAGAAAACGAGCGCATTCGCGCCCAACTCCCTCGACGCCCCTCTGATCGCCCTCATCACGGGAGCAACATCCATGAAGACGAGGCACACTCGGCCTCTCAATCTCGGACTGCGACCAGGGCACTGACTTGACAACCCGCCACGCATCGATCTCATGCATCGACGCACAAGCCGGGCCCAGATGTCAGCAGAGCACCCACACGTGCCACAGAAGGCCACGAAACCTTCCGCCGACATCCTTTTGTGGATGGCATCATGGAGACCCCACTCCCCCGTGGATGGAAGCCTCTCCATCTCGACCGCTATGACGGCACGACGGACCCCGATGAGCACATTGACCTGTACACGACCCAGGTAAACCTCTACACTAACAATGATGCTATCTTGTGTAGGGTTTTTCCTACCTCGCTCAAAGGAGCCGCGCTCTACTGGTACACCCAGTTACCCGCCGAGTCCATCGACAGCTTCAGCACCTTAATCCGGCGGTTTACGACACAATACGCCACCATCCGACCTCACCACACAACCTCCACTGCTTTGGCCAACCTCAGGCAGAATGATGACGAACCTCTGTGAACCTTCATGGAGCGTTTCTCCAACATCTCGGTGAGGATCCAGAACTTAAACCCCGAAGTCGCCTTGCACTCCATGCTCATGGCTCTCAAAGCTGGCCCCTTTGTCGACAGCCTCTATCGAGACCCCCCCACGACATGGACGAGCTCCGTGCCCGCGCGGCGGGATACATCCAGATGGAGGAGCACTCCGCCTTCTGCAACCAGATTCGCGGGAAAGCCCCAGCAAAATCGGAACAAGGGCATAAGGATAAAATCAAAGTCAACAACGACAGCCAATTCAAGAAGTCGACTAAGGCAAACAGAGGGGGGAGATACGACTTCTACACTCCCCTGAACGCGCCTAGGGTACACATCCTAGAGGAAGCCAGCAACAACAATCTGCTCGCCCTCCCACCGCCGGGTCACACTCCCAACAGCGCCGACAAGTCTAAGCACTGCTGGTACCACAGGAACCATGGTCACACCACGGAAGAATGTCGCACACTCCGGGATCGCATCGAGGAGCTCATTCAAGCAGGCCACCTCGGCCAATACATCCAGCGAAAGCAGGGTAATAGAGGCGGCTATGGAGGTCGAGGACGCGACAGAGGTCGAGGTTCAGGAGCTCGCACTGAGTCACACCCGGGCTCCCAGCAAAATGCTGGCGGCGCAGTACAAGCCGAAATAAGACAAGAGACAAAGTCGGCCCCCTTACGAGGAGTAATCAACACAATAGCTGGCGATCTTTTAGAAAATTGTTTGTTATCATAAAAACTCATAACACCTCAAGGAATTCAAGATTGTCTTTTGATTCTTCAGACTTCCTTTTGATCTTACAAAAACATTTCATTAAAATACTAAATTCGAGGGATCCAAGATCGTCTTTTGACTTAACAATGTCCCCCTTTTTAAATGGTGACAAACACATTTTGGTATTTTTAAAATGTCCATTTTTATTTTTTTAGAAAATAGTTTGCTTTGGTAAGACAAAAAGACTTTTGTCTTTTTGAAATGATATCATCTTTCAAAAGATATTTTTCTTAAAAGGAATTCTAACATTTTTTAACCTTGAAAGAAAAACAAAACTTTTCAATATTGCCTGAGACATTTTTCTTAGAAATGCATAAGCAATTTGGATATGTTTTTATCATAGTGATGTAAGGCACACATCTAAGATGTTGTAAGATCATTCAAGCAAATTGATTTTTATCATTACATTCTTTTAAAGACATGTATCATCTCAAATTTACTTAGTTCTATCATCATTCGAAATAGCATTTGAGACAAACTATGCAATTATATTAGGTCAACTTGAATTAATAGATCCTTTAAGCATGTTAGACTAAGTGTGGATACAGATTTTATGAGATCTAGTCTTGGTATTTCATACCTAAATCAGAGAATACAAGAGAAATTTTATATGACATAGCATGTTTATTTTATCTCTTTCTTATCAAGCATATTGGAGTATAACATATCTTTCTACTTTAGGTATTAAAGCATATATTTTTCTACCCTAAGTGTTAGAGCATATGTAATCAAACTATAGTGCCTACTGTAGGTGCTATATGCAATGCATAGGAGGCTCCCCTTGAAATCGTGCATGATCTGACGAATATAACATGCATAAACTAGAGCAAATATAATGTACACTAATCAGAGCATATTGTTCAGAAAAAAATTAGAGCAAGATAGTCAAAAATTTTAAAAACTTAAATCATTATCACTTTTCCCCTTTTGACACTAGCAAAAGCTAGTCCAAGGCATCAAAATCGTCAAAGCTCAGATCTGAAGAGGACATGATCGATATTGAGGCAAGACAATAGCTTGTTGAATTTTCATTCAATGTGTGCTTGCCTCCTTAGAGAGTAGTGCAAAGCTTGGTAGAGCCCAATGATCACATTGTTGTAGTCCTTTTTAGTAGTGAGTGAAGGGAGAAGTGGAGTTGTTTGTGATGAAGAAGTAGATGAAGCTTCTAATGGCACCATCAGTGGACTTCATCAATTTGAGAAAGTCTAAGAATCATGTCAACATAAGATGATGCCTATGCAAAGAAAGAGCAGAGCCTTAGACCCATCCAGTCTGATGAAATTGCTAAGGGGGTTGATAGTGTAGCCAAGTCACTATAAAAAATAAACTAGATTTTCCCTAAAACTTTGCCATACAGAGAACAATTATTTTCATTTTTAATTGTACTCATAGATATAAAAGCTTGTAAAAAATAATTATGATATATATTTATGCTTTTAAAAGTTATATATAAAATTTTTAATACTACAAATATATGAATAAGTATTATCCCCATTATCTAAAATTTTTTAGATCCATCACTGATACCCGCACATTAATGTGTGAGTGCATACCTGGGGTCGAATTCTTACCTTGGCAAAATACACATAACCCTAAACTTAAGGTCGAATACGAACCGCTTATCCAAGGTTGAGTTCGAACCCTCACAACATAACAAGAATACAAGGTCAAATTCGAACCTTAGCATAATTTACTCTACTTCGATTTAAGGACAAATTCGAACCTCGGCACTGATAACTTAAAAGGTCGAATTCGAACCTCGGCACTAGTAAATAATGATCGAAGTCGAACCTTCATGAAAAAATCACCTAACAAAAAACCGAGGTCGACAACTTATCTCAACATGGGCAACTCAAAGCAAAGTACCGCCACATATAAAAGCGTAGAACAAACACCAAACGTGTCCAAAAACACGCAAAGCAGCAAAAATCAAACGCAAAACACATAAGGGCAACAAAAAATATATACATATACGGGCAAAGTTCCCAGAGTCCAACACTTGAGTTCAAATCAGAAAATTAAAGCAAATTAAACTAAGCTATCACAAAATTGACCTACGCACAGGCGTCCTCGCTGGAGCTGTCCTCGACGTCGTCTTCCTTGACAAGCTTGCCAAAGCGGATGACTTTCTCCACATGCATGGAGGAAAAATCAAACCCGGGAGCGAGGAGCCGTGCCTGGCGAGCGGCCTTCTGAAAGCCCCTTTTATGCTCCACCACCACGGAGCGCTCGACCTCTGCGAGCCTCCCCTCCACGGCCGCTTTCTCCGCCGTCAGTTCCGCCAGCTCCGCCCTCAAGGAGGCGATCTCGTCTTCCCGGCCACCAAGAACGACCTCGTTGCGAAGGCGCTCCCCAGCCGCTGCCGCCAACTCCCCTTTGAGGGAGGTCACAACATCTTCTAGAGCCCGCACCTGGCCACGAGAAGACGTTACCTCATCTTCTAAGGATCGAGCACGGCCTCGAGAGAAGGCGAAGAGCTCCTGCAGCTCCCCCACCTGAGATGCATAAGTCTCGTTAGACCGCAAGGCGATCTCGAGAGACTTCTGCGCCCTCGCAAGGTCGCCCCCTGCAGATCAGAGCTCGGCCTCCCGCCGCTTCGCCTCATCAAGGGTAGCGCTGAGAACCTTGTTCTCCTCCCTCAGAATCTTATTCGCATCCTTCCAAGGTTGAAGCCGACCCCTCAGCTTGGCCAACTCCTCTTGCTGCTTGGCAAAGTCTTCCTGCTGTTGGGCCCACCTCGGTTTTCAGTGGCCTAGGATGCCCATAGTCCTCCGCAACAGAACCTGAGCAGCATCGAAACTATCCTCAGGGTCGACCTCCTCTATCAGCCCCTAGTCCTCGGAGCTCAACGAACCCTGAGGGAAGAACTTCTCAGTGGTCACCCCCGAGCTCCATAGCGAGTCCATGTCAGCTGAGGCACTCACGTGGTCCAACCGCACTTTCGAAAGGCAAGTATCGGCTCCGGGAAGCCCCTTGTGATGAGCCCGAAGGCGGCGCCGAGGCTGCAGCAGTGGACGGGGGAGCCTCACAACTCGGGCCCCCTCCGCGAGCCTCAACGAAGGCGGAAACCGGCGTCCCCTGCTCGGCATCCAGGGAGGCCACAATGGGAACCTCCGACCTCGCCTGCGAAAACCAACCCCATGTCAGAAAATAAACAAGGTGACATACGAGGAATCACAAAAACAAGTAAACACTGCTTACCGCAACAACATGGGAGGCCCGCTCGGTGGCTGGGGCCACTTCTTCGACGGCGAGAGCGACTGGCCCAGCGCTGGAGGTCGCCATCCCGGAAGCATTTCCTGCCTGCAAAAAATGACCCCAGATCAAAAGACAAGAAAACATAATAAAAGGCAACGAAAAGCCGAAGAAACAATACTCACCACCTCGGCAACTCGAGCAACTTGCTCAGCCGCTCATACTCCTACCTCAGTGACGGCCACCCCGGCCTACAAGAAAACCCATATAACCACAATAAACCAAGCAAAGTCTAACGCAGAAGAAACATATAAAGGAAGTACGACACTTACATCGGTGACCCGCGTGGTAGGCTCAGCAGCCTGGGCCGCCTCCCCAGTCCCCACTGGGGGAGCCTCTTTAGACGGTGGACTCTCAGTGAGATCCGCCGCATCAGCATCAATGGCCTTGGAGGTCACCTCCTCGGCACCTGGAGGGACAGAGGATCCCCCGACCTCTTTTCCCCCCTCTTTCTCTTCCGGCTAACCTTCAGAGGGGGCAACATCCTCCTCCGGAGGCTCGAGAACCTCGAGCTCAGTAGCGTTGTAGCGGTGCTTAAGCTCGCGCCACAAGTTCTTCCCCATAATGCCTGCAGACAAAAACGGAAACACATCAACCAAAGGAAATTACACGAGCCCTAGCAAACCACCAAAACACGAAATACTCACTCTCTAGGCCCCTCTCCCTGTAGGGCGAATTCGCAAGCGATAGAATGAGCTTGCAATCCAACGGGCGAGGGAGCGCAGCAAGGTTTTCAATGGCAGCTGCCTCCGAGGCCGTCACCTTCAGGTTACCCAAACCGTGAAACCTAGACGGTTCGGGACACCAGTAAAAAGTAAATTTTGGCAAGCCGCCGAAGTGGAACACCTCGTCCTCCAGGGGGTCAATACCCACAAGGGCAACCCGGAAGAACTCCTGTTTGAAGTTTTTATATGATTGGGAGTAGAGAGTAAACAAACCCCCATCCCTACTCCCATTCAAAGACAAAATACCATAAGGCGGAGCGCCTAGCTTCAGTTGATAAAAATGAAGAAAGACGCGAAGGGACACCTCTATCCCCAGAACCGCACACAGGACCTGAAAAGCCCTCAAAAAACCCCAACTGTTGGGATGCAACTGGCAAGGAGCCGCGTTGATAAAATTCAAAAAATCGCACTCGAACTGAGTGAAGGGAAGACAGACACCTAAATCCCTAAAAAAGCTTTGGTACATATAGAAATGGG